CTTGTGATATGTTTGTACTTTTTGAGTCTGAGACTATTGATTGTGGTGAAGTGGTTACCTTAGTTCGGCGCGGCCGCTACAAGTACCTGAGTCTGGGGTTAAACTTAACAGCCACCGACAGCATCGTCTCGTCGACAGACCGGGAAAGGCTGGCAACATTTGGTAGGGCATTAATAAGAACGATTCTAGAACTGTTTTGACCGCCTTCGGAATTCAAAAGTGTTTGTGTTGTGTTGGTGCTGCCTCTGTCTGATACTGATTCCGGAAATGGAATGCCATATGCAATGCAATGCATCGATGACTCTATCGTCTGTACAGTATCTCGTCATGAACTGTTGATCATGTCCCCTGTTACTTTTTTGCTTCTGTTGTTGCGGTGATGAGGAACATCAGATCAAAGACAGGGTGTAAGTGAGAGATACTGTGGGGTACTTGAGGGAACGCTCACAAATGGCGGTGGACGAGGTACATAGAAGTACTTGCCGCATTCGGTAGGTGGGAAATGAATCGACTCGGTGAGGCACGTCAAGGCAATTTAATATGCCGTAGCGTTATGATTTACTGTTAATTTCGGGATGTCACCAGAGATGAAATGAAAATTCTAGAAGATGAAGAGAAGGCATAGACGATGATGTAGTTATGGTCCGTCTATCTCGAAATAATTCATGCCCTTTTCAAGATTGAACAGTGAGTGTAATGGTGAATCTAGGTCGAGTAGGTACCTGCAGATCTCCCCTGAGCGGTCAACCCCTGTCAGTCTAGCTCATCCTCATCGCTGCAATCATCTTTGATTGAGATCTGCCCCTTGAATCCAATCCCATCCCCAGCAGTAAAAAGTAAGAAGACGGCACGGGAGGACTGAACGATTGGGGTCACTCACACCTAAGTTTACTGTACTGTATGTACATGCGATTCTGCCCTGTCAATCTGACTAGTTCATCGCTAATTATATTTCACCGTTCTTGAGTCAAGGTCTATGCTCGAGCACAGTCAGCAAATCCTTAGAGCTAGCCAGTCAGGGGAAGCTCGAATTGCAGTGGAGATGGTGACCTTTGAATTACTTGTGGGTTTGGAAATGCGAGAATGTCTTGTCTTGTCTTTGCTCAATGGGGTTTACGTTGCATTTGCCCGTTTCTCATGCTACTGTATGATGTCTTTGCTTTCTTTTCATGAGACGTTGACCCACGTGGGAAAAGCAATGAGGCGGGAGACATGCATGCATGGGTGTTGTGTGATTCGTCTCGTATGTTTCTCTGTGTCTCATGGGCCAATTGAATTGCTCAATTCATCGTATTTCAGGTGGGTTCTTCATAAATTCATCTCAATTGATTCAAGAGCTTCAATTGTTAGTCACCTCCACTTTGTCTCTCTCTTTGTCACTGTCTCTGTCTCTCTCACGACTCCAAGCTTCTTCCCTTCAACTTTGCGACAGACAAAGCTGTATCAAACAGCGTCAGTGTCTCAGACAACACTTTCCTCAGCCATCAAGCGATCGTAGCGGCTTCAACACGAAAAAAAAGACGGAACCTCTTGCGTGCTCCGTGTCCGTGGGGGCCTCTAGCACTAAAAGAGGCGCTCGTTCATTTCCTTTTGATGCTTGGACCACTCGAAGGATGTTGCGCTGTGTCTTGCATGAGAACGCGGTGCTGTAGAGAATGGGGCTGGGTCACCATCAGGGGAAACCGTTACGGCGCTTGACTTTGTTCGAATTGTGGCTCCAGAAGCGCAAATAAACGCCAGAGAAGGGCGGTCAGAGTTGACGATGGAGCTTGAGATTTGAACGATGTCACTGAGACTTTAAGAGAGTTGCATTCTGGAATAGAGATTGGCATGAGTGCTCGCAGATCTAGCGCTTTGGCGTCACCAGTCACTTGACGTATCTGGAGGACCCTGAAACATATGGTGGACGATCATGCACTACACTGCACTGTGAAATACTGGTGATCCTCGTCTGGGGGAGATTGGACTTTTGCTGAATAGCGATCGGCGATCAAAACTTCTCTGTAGATATCTAGTCTGCACTAAAACTTCGACGGTCCGATCTCAGAGCTGGCATCTGCGGTGGTTTTCTGATGACAGGTGGAGAAGCAGATACTCGAGTATATGAAGACCTACGACAAGTATAATGATGGGCACTAGGATCTGGGGTTCTTCAGCGTCTTATTTTGAGCAGCTTGTCTGTCTGGAGATGCTCCACAAGACCTGACTCAATAGTGAAGCTATCTCGAGAACCCCATCCTGGTACGTGCTCGAGTCCCAAGATGATGGACAGCGACACAGTAGAGATGAAGAACGAGTACAAGACTATTGTAACTGCGATATCCCGACTTGAATTGAGTTTCATGATTCGGATCTCGTTACAAGGTCTGAGCGGAGTTGGAACTGAAACAGAAGCTTGGACAGATCGGTGTTGGAGTTTAAAAGCTTAGTGCTAGAAATAGCATTGACGATGCCGAATTGGTGGATTTGTCACTTTGAGTTGGGGTTTCAGGTGTGCTTACCTGATGGAAGCTGAAGCTCTGGCTTTTCTAGAAGAGGCAAGGAACACGAACCGATGGAGCTGAAGAATCTTCAAGTGAAGACTGGACTAATAAGTGTCAACCGTTGACCAAGACCCCATCGCCTCAGGTATGTCAACCTCGGCCAGCTAGCCAGTGCTGAGGCGCAGTTGAGAATGAAACGGGCTGCTACACTTGATGGTTGTTTACCGTCTTGATGAGAAGGACAGCTATGTTTTTGAGGCTGAGTCAAAACGAATGACTTCATGTAGATTCATGGAGTAATAGTAACCCTTAGGGAGAATACAAGACCTAAGTTTAGGGTAATAAAATAAACTTTATAAAAGGTATCCTAAACTTATCCTGAATTTATACTAAGTTACCTAAATCTTTCTAGTGGTTAGGCTTAAGGTCTGGAGTTTTATTTCCTCCCTTAGGTAACATAAATTTTGGTTACCAGCATTCGGAAGATGGGACTTTTTCGTAAGAGATGCGCCTCCTCGACGAACAGTAGGATGAACTTACAAAGAGCCTTGACTTTACTACGAGACTTAGAAACCTTCCTCCTCGGCGCTAGGTGTTGCTTCCTTGTAGATGAGTGTTGAAAGGAGTTTTGCAATAGCTATCATGATTCTGCGCCCAACTTAACGGATGACAAACTTGGCACTGCGAGGAGTCAAGTCAAAGCCACGAAATCAAGATGACCTAGGCGTAAGTTGGGCAGTTGAGTGTTATTATGGTTTGTCAAGGTCAATAGCAATAGCCTTACCATAAACTTCATCGTCAGGGGTTGCCCAGCTCGAACCTCGAATATGACTTCCTTGCTTTTAATCTGGAAAGGCTAAGTAGATGCCAGAGGTTAGTCTCATAACCTGATGTCTTGTAATACACCCTAACTGTATGGTAGAGCAGTACCCTAATCAATGAGTACCAAAGAGAAGGCATGGCCTTGGGTGTAATGTGTGTTAATTCCCAGTATCAAGACCACCGTAGATCGTGTCAATTTAGTTATCATCCGAATGGAGAACAATCGAGTGATCATAGCCCAGATATCTAAGGACAGTAAGGAACTACTCGAATAGTCTCTCACGTTTCTGACTCCAATCAATATCACGTTGTATCCTATAGCTATCCTTTTCCGTGGATAATCGATGTCTCATGATATACAACTCACAATGCCACATGCAAACAAGCCTCAATTACATCCGATAGCTATACTCATCGGAAGCTTCATCTACCAGTCTCATGCAACGCCAATCTGTCAGATTGCTGGGAAAGTCTCAGTCAGCAATGCGACCACTTCGCTATGTACTTCCGATCAGAGAAACACCGAAATATACCAAATACTCGGCACTCAAGGCTGTGGCTGTGGCTGCAGCGTCTTCGCAGACACCAGAGCTCGGCACTATCGCCATTTGCTTTGAATCTTAGACCGTCATGTGTCTGTGTCAATGCAATACCCGACTGTCTCTTGCGGCGAGGCTTCACCATCTTCAGATTACTGCTGACGATGGCAAAGGTATCTGGACCAAGCACAGCACACTGTGATGAAGTCTTACTCAATGATAGTACTGGAAGTGCATAACTCGATAATCTCGCGATACTTTGCCTCTCTAACTTGGAAGTCTAAAGGGAATCTATTGTTATCAAGGCGTCGACGCCACCTGAATTATATTATACCGCCATTAGACTAATAAAAAGTTATGCCCTCTACTTATAAAGGCATGAAATGATAGTGAACTGTGGCTGAACTTAATATTGTTTATATATTGCTATTATTATCTATAAAATAAAGTCGCTTGCTTTAATACTTACTTAAGTAATATTATATTATTAAAAAAGAATATAAAGTATAAAATATATTTATTATTAATAAGTTTATATTTCTTAGTTTTACTATTAAATTAAAGCTCTTAAGGATATAGAGAGGATCTTAAGTCCTTACTTTAGTAAGTTAAATAACTTATATTAAAGGAAGTATAATAAGTTTTATATTATAATCCTCTACCCTTTCCCTCTTGTTTCAGTTCTAAGTAGTGATGGCGCCAAGTTATCTGGCCTCATATTAGTGATGATTTAAGGTAGTATTTATTTGTTAAAGTAAAAATTGCATGCGTATTGCTAACGTCCTTGTCTGGGTTAAAATCAAGAAAACATAAAGAATGAAACAAGTAGCAAAGCGCAATAATAAAATAGCCCCCGCCTGACCTGCATCTATGCCATCCCGCCGCCCAAACTATCCCACATCTACATCATGTGGCTGGGGGCGCCGACCTGGCTGTTTGCAAGGCCTTCATACACCTCCTTCATCACGTTAAAATACTCCGCAAACTCATCACTGATGAGTTTGCATGGCATAATCCTGCCGTTGACACGAAGGTGCTCAGGGATATAGGGGGGTTCGTCAGTCCCCGTCTCAGCGAATCTGACGATCCGCATGCGAGCAAGTGCGATGATGAGTTTGGTGTTGTATTCTTCAACCCTGTTTCTTAAGTCTCGATCCTATGCTTCGATTGCGCTCTGGATTGCTTGTGCCTTGGTGACATCTTCCCTGTATTCGATATAGTCAACAGGGACCCTCGTGCCTTTCTCATCTCGCCAGACAAAGCGCAATTCCTTGCCCTCAGATTCCGAACTGAACTCAACAGTCAGGTAGGCAGGCTGTAGGGCCATTCGCTTCGGGTTGTCCTGGACAGTGACTCCCCGCTTGCGTTTCTGTGGGGTGATGGGCAGATTGTCCTTCAGATATCCAGCGTGGAAGGACGATTTCTGCAGAGTCCTTGGGGCCATTGAGGGAAGGGGAACGCAGGACTCATCAGAGTCCCAGTTGGTGAAGACCTTGGGGAAGAAGCCCTTTCGGAGCTCCTCTGTCAGCACCTGGGTATGGCCGATGGTCGCGGGCCGGGCGTCACACCATTCTTGGAGAAGGTCTTGGAAGCTGATTTTTTCGACGACAGTGAGATTACTTCCTTCAGGAACTCTGTTTCCTCGGACTCGAGTAGCCACGACCTCGGCGTCATTCAACATCGCCTGTGGGGTCATGGCGACGTCGGCAGGAGGAGAATTGGCTGCGGGAACGTCCGATGACATTGCGATAGTGTTTCGTTTTTGAAAGGTAGGTAGATATTGTGGTGCTAGTTAAACATGAGTTTGGCGGTCAGATGACTTCGTGAAAGTTATGAACTCACAAGGAAATAATTTTTATATGCGATCTGAATGCGCTCGATTTTATGTGCTGTTGATGCTATCACTATACTGTCAAGGTATGTGCGTATATCACAAGATGATGCTTATGATTGAGAGTGATGGACTGAAGGTCAGAAGATATTTCGATTCTATCTATCACAATAATTTGTGCCTTTGTGATATTTGACATATGCAATTGCTATTGTCTCAGTAGTTTGTATTGTTGTAGATGTTCCTAATAGTAACAATAGAGTAATTGTGGGGCTGCGGGTAGCCCATGGGATTTCCTTAGGTGTGTTGACCTTGGTTTATTTAACTCAGCATTGGAAGCCACGACTATATATGCCTAGAAATTCCAATTCTAGTTCAACTGTTTTCTTTCTTTCTTTTTTCTTTAGAAATTCTATCACTTCATGCCCCAGGTGGTCCCTTGGGTGATGAAATTACTACAATAGCCTCACTCTCTCGACTCGCTTTTGGTGGATTTTTTCTTAATGTATTCTTTCACCGAGATGATTTATGTTTAGCGCGGCCTTAGGGAGCAAGAAAATATAAGAGTTTAGAAGAGGTTACTAGGATAAATCTAGTAAAGACTCCTCTAAACTTAGACTAAATTGCCTAAGTCTTGTCATCACCAAGGATCAAGGTCTAGTTTTCTTGCCCCCCGCGCGCTCTTTACGGCCGCGCGAGCCTCCTTATTCCATAAGGCTGAAGAGCGAGGCCTATCACCATTGTCCGGCGGTGATGAAACCTGGGGATAGTCGGAATACTATCTCATAAATAGGGCAGTTTGAGGTCCTACCCAGGACCATGGAGGACTTGAGGTGAATGAAGAGGTGTTTGGCCTGGACGAAGCATAACCAGAGACCTCGGTCCTTGATGATCGGCGGCCTTCGATAAAAATGAAACTGGAGTCGTTTATTTCGTATGCAGTTGCAATGCTGAGGTGCTGACGAGCACAGAGCTTTGCAGGCCTTCTGCCTCGGCATATGATTGCAGCATTATCGCTGAGTGTTGCGCGTGATGCCGGGACGTTTGCGTTCAACGTGGTTAACCTTGTTGTTCAGGAGCTTTTCTGTTCCATATTAGCCTTTATAATCGCTCCGGACAAGCAATAAATACCTCATAGAGTATTTCACGAGTAATATTGGAGGTCCGACATCACTGCTGCATGGCATGTTGACTGTCTATGCGAAGGCTGTTCAACCAGAGCAGCTCAGGAACGTCTCGTCTACAATCATCGTGACTGTAAGGTCAGGCCTGAACGCGAGGAACAATGGCCTGATATAAGAGTATGGCACTTTGAGGAATTAAGCAATCGTGCTCACCATATGGTCATGGTGGGGAACAATGAGTGAGGAAGATGAGGATGGAGAAGAGTGTATTTGGACGAGGTGAGGGTGTGTACATAAATAGAACCAGCTTCGAGAAACGAGAAGAGAAATGCCCAAGTAGAACTCAAGTCTTGAGATGCGCGAAAATGAACGACATAAAGCAGTTCGAAGCCTTCGATCCCGTCGCAAAGATCATGAAGAGATCCATTCGTAGACTTGTGTTTAGTAGTCTGAGAGAATCACTTGACGAGAAGCTGGGGTTCTTGAGAGGGGTGAGAGTAACGAGAAAGCTGAAGCTGCGTTGCGCACGGGCCAGATCCACAATTCAGCTGCCGCTTCAGGGTCCAAGTGCCTGCTGCTACCTTAACTTACCTAACTTAAAGAGAGGCCGGTGGATATATCTTCCGAGCATCAACTTCAACGTCGTCTAACTGCGTGCTACCTACTAATCCAGTCAAGTTCGCACAGGGATCCATTACAGGTAGCTTGCTTGCTATGTCAGAATTGCATATTTCCTCAAGTTACAATGCATGGACTGGCAACAATATGGAAGAGGCTAGGTTCTTCCAAGCTTCTTCAACCTGCTCCTCCAGTTTCCTCCAGGTCCGAATAATGAGTAATCCTACAAGTGTTGAGATACGAGTCTATTGTATTCGTATGCTAACGATCGTTCTAGAACTCATGACCTTCCGAGAGGTCTACCACTATGCATCTTATCGGACAATCACTGTCTCGAGCGGTGGAACATTCCCATTATGGCTTGTCCTTAGGCAAGTTTCCAAATTCTTAAAGGGCAACAAAGTTTATATTGTCACTCTGTTGATGAGTAAGTATGAGAAGGAAAATCAACCTCAGGGCAGCTAGCTACATTGGATTGTGGTCACAGCTTGAACCCCTGGCAATTGGCTGCAGCGGGGTTAGCCAAGTCAAGCTATTGTCCATTGTCCATTGTCCTGGATATTTAGGAGTCATTTTCGCTATCCATTTGCAAAACTCCTCCCTCAGCCTTTTTTCGCTTCTTCTCCGAATCACTTTCGCATCCTCACCTTTACCGCAAAACACCACATTACGGCCAACCACCCTTTGAAGCACATACAGCTATCCTGGCTTGTTTCTTCCCTGAGAAGATACTTCGCGGCATCCTATCACGCTATCGTCAAGTCAAGTAGATACTACTATAGTGTCTCAGCATGGCTGCTGAACAAGCGAGCCCAGTTCTGGTGCTGGGCATTGACTTTGGCACTACGTAAGCAACCAACCCTTCCTCATATACTCTCTCTGACGTCTTCTTTATAGATACTCGGGCATCGCGTGGTGTCGAGTCGGTGAAAACAACGAAATCAAGTTCACCACCAACTGGAAGAAGCCAAGATTCGCACAGGGGGACAAGCAGAAGGTCCCCTCGGCAATCTATTATCACCACCTGAATGATGAAAACCCTGAATGGGGTGCGACCACTCCGCAGGACGATACTACACTTCGCTGGTTCAAGCTCCTTCTCGTCGATGAGAAAGACCTCCCGGATCATATCCGATACTCCGTTCAGCTGAAGGCAGCTCGGGCTCTGATGTTGAAGGCTAACAAGACCCCGGTTCAGATCTTGGGCGACTACCTGCGACAGCTTTGGCGTCATTGTCGTCAGAACATTGTCAGGGCCGAGGGTCGCCGAATGATGACAGTCTCGACAGTTCACCTTGTCGTCACTCTCCCGGCTATATGGCCATACTACACCCGCTCCAGAATGACGGAGGCTCTGGGACACGCCGGTCTTCTCAACATCACCAAAGCTGGTCATACAACTTTGGATTTCATCTCTGAGCCCGAGGCGGCTGCTTTGACCTGTCTCAAGGAGAACGCCGATCGCTTCAATGTCAGAGTGAGTTCAAAATGACCCTTTTTATCACTGGCCTGTAGTTAACCATATTTAGGTCGGTGACCATTTCGTCATCTGTGATGCAGGAGGAGGGACTGTTGTAAGTTTCAGCTTTGCCCTCCTTGCGAAACGTTTCTTACAAAACAGGATCTCATCACCTACAAAATCGAGAAGCTTGATCCTCTCATTATGAGTGAGAGCGTCAAAGGCGATGGTAAGCCATCTGGGCCACTGTATGATGTACATTTGACTGACCTCGACCAAGGTGGCTTGTGTGGTGCAATGTTCCTCGACGAGAAGTTTCTCAACCTCCTCAAGGAAACTATCCCTTTTGAGGCTCAGAGGAGTCTTGATAAGCAGACATTCCACAGGATCATGGAGTCTGATTGGGAAGGCGGCTTGAAGTCCTCCTTCTGTGAGACCAGCGGAGACTTGCCCTTACAACTCTCGTACGATGGCCTCATTAGCACCAACTTCTTCCCCTCAAAGTTCATCATCGATGTGTAAGTGCCATAAATGACCCCATCACATTACTCTGGGAATATCCATAATTCTCTATGAAGGCCTTGACGGGCGTCTTCGTAATACCTACCTCGTCCCAGCTAACTTAGTCCTAGTTCCGAAATCCGCGAGAAAGTATTTGATCCTGTGGTTGAAGATGTTAAACAGCTCGTTCAGAAGCAGGTCAATGCAGTCAAGCACAAGTACAAGAAGAAGCCAAAGGTAAGTCTGTTCGTCATTTCGTTCAATGGCAGACTGCCTAACATCGTTTAGTTCGTCATCCTAGTTGGTGGCTTTGGAAGGTCTGTATATCTGCATCAACGCCTTCAGGACGCTGTTGGCAACAGAGTAGACGTTCTTCAGCAGGATGGTGAAAAGCCGTATGTGATCTCGACGCCTCGAAATTCCGTTTGTTGACAATAATTTGTAGCTGGACCGCTGTGCTTCGAGGAGCTGTCCTACATGGACTGGCGAGAACCAATCATACCAGTTCAATCAAAGTTACGGTCGCCTCACGTGTGTCCCGTCACAGTTACGGGACCCTCGTGAACATTTCGCCCTTTGACCCCAAAGAGCATGACTCCAAGGATCGCGCTTGGGATGGTGGCCTGCAGGAGTTCCTTGCTGTCGAGCAGACACGATGGTTTGTTCAGATCGTAAGTCACATGGGCCCGTTTATGTTAATCTCTAACTTCTCTAGGGTTCCTCTGTCTCTGCATATGACCCCGTTTGTGAATCCTTCTGGCAGGACCTCACGAGTCCCGACGATGATCTCCAAATCGACATCGTTACCTCGGACGCCTCTACTCCCCCGACCCGCAAGGATGATTCAGTTAAGCCTATGTGTATCGTCAAAGCGTCCGAACTTCCCAGATGGGATACCATACCGGTGTGGACCAACGAAGACGGTCAGGTATTCCACCGAATCACTTACGAACTGCGCATGATCAGTGACGGGTCCTCTTTGGATTTTCAAGTGTTCTACAAGAACAAGAGCATTGCTTCTGGAAGTGTCGCCTTCGACTCTACCAGTCAGAACGATACAGATGACGAGGATGACGTGCAGATGGGCTCTCCTCAAAACAACGGCAATGGTGACAATATCATTGACATGACCGACACCGATAGCGACAGCGACTACGTTGAGGCTGAGGAATGAATAGGGGATGGGGTCATGGTTGCTGTGTTAATGCGATCCAAAGAGCCCAAAGTGGCTCCAATGGGGTCAAACGGTGTCAAAGGGGCTCAAGAGGGGCTCAAAGCGAGCCTCATTTCAGAGTGAAATTCTTGGTTGGGGGCATTATGAAAGCTCATGGGCATTGCTAAGGGATCAAGCGTATAGTTGCTTTATGTCATATTGGGGCACATATGTCTAGCATATACCGGTGCTACATCGGTAAGACGACATGCTAGTTACGTCTTTTATTTCAATTCAAGTGGCTCTTTTATCGCGTTGCGTACGTTTTCGGTTGGTTCATACAGCTTTACGCCTGATGACTGAGATCGCTTTTCGCGTTGTAAGTTGATGAGCCCTTTCAGGATCTGACTGAAGGCTTATGAGTCTGCGTGCTTTCATTTTTAGAATGAGTATCTGAGAAGGACTCAACAACTTTGAGCACGTTTTCAGCATTAGGCAAAGACTTAATTACGTCTACAGACCTGAGACACATCTCCCTCGAGTTTTGTGTTGGTGACTCCTTATTCCAGAGTAGAGCTTGACCTCAGAACATTCTATAAGTATGGTGACTCGCGTTTTGGGTTACAAATGCTTCGATAGCAATATTGCATGATATGATTCGAATTGCATGAGATGAAAGAATATTCCGATGTCGGCCACGCTCATTGTGGGAGGCTGATGAGAACGTTAGTTTGGATTCCAGGCCAAACTGGCATCCAACTCTGCGCCCTGAGTATCAATGTTACTGTGCATTTTGGATTAAAAATATCTGTTTCTTTGACTCTCGATTCAACTCTTTGACACCTCTCTAGGGCCTCGATCCTCCAGTACTGCGATGTTACTGGTGACTCCGAGAGCAGTGGGGGGCTCAGTGAGTCACACTTGGGTGGAGGTATATGTACAAATAAGCCCACACTCTTTCACCAAGAAAGCAATTTGGCGCAGTGGAAGCGCGGTATGTCTATCTCACAGTCTGCATCACACAACTTGTACTAACAGACCCAGCCGGGCTCATAACCCGGAGGTCGCACGATCGAAACGTGCAATTGCTAGGTTTCATATTTTTTTACAATTTTTCCTATTTTGATTTTGGTACTTTGAGTTGTTCTCACTTTATGGTTTCTTTTTGGCGGTGGTTTTGCACTAGTTTCTGATGGGCGTGATTTGGTGGAAACACGTGACTGGTAACTTACACGCGATCTCTGGTTATTAACTATTGCAATACATTGAATGCCTCTTTCTTTTTCTATAGATAATTAGCAATGGATAGAAGTAGTCGATGAACAGAAAGTGGCTTTTGATTCAGATCTAATCATGTATACGTGCTTAATAAGATACAAGTCCGCTGGTCAACTATCCCTATGCATGAGCTCACCAACTTGTACTGACTTAAGCCAGGAGAAGACAGTGTTGGCTAGGAGTTACGACACACGATTGCAGATGCTCACGAATCGCGGTTCTTCATGTCAATTAGGCCTAAATGTATAGAAGTCCGCCCATGGCCGCGTGATACCCAATAGAACTACCCGGATACGTATGCATGCCTCAGCTAAAAGATGACCATGACCACGTCTAGGCAACAGCATCTCTTTCTTGCTCCTCTTGAACCTCATTTTCATCTTTGTGCTTTAGCTTTATCAATAAATTCATGGAGCAACTAGCACAGCAATACATCGACTCAACGAACGTGACGGCTTGCTGGTTACCAGGCGGCAATGCATTTTGGTATAAGCAGAATACTTCACCAAAAAAATGTCAGTTTCTGCTTGTTGATGTCCAGAGAAAGAGTTGCGAGTTGCCATTTGATCACAAGCAACTCGCTGAGGCTCTGCACGAGAAAACAAACGAAGAGGTTGACCAAAACTCTCTTCCTTTCAACTGGATTGAACCAGTCCCAGACGAATCATGTGTTCGATTCTGCTTTGACAAACGAAAGTGGCAGTTTGGGCCAAACAATCTGCTTCAAGAATGGGAGGGACAGTTCACCACTGAGCCAGATCATCTGCTCCAAAAAGAAGTCATTTCTGCACACAGTGACACTAAAGTCACCGTCGACTTTGTGAACCGTACAGGCAAAACCCTCAGGGTGTTTTGGATCGATTGGAAAGCAAAAGCCATTCCATATTTTTCGATCAAGAACGGCGAATCAAAACGACAGATTACATACGTGGGCCATGTTTGGCGATTGGTAGATGTGTCCAACGAAAAATACAGGGCAGTCTATTCGGCACCTGACGAGGGAAACCATGTCGCTATAATCGAGCATCTCAGCGATTCTATCCCTGAAGCATCTCCACCCAGCGACGATGAAGACTCTGGTATAGATGAAGAACGAACGGTACCCGAAAACGGGCCATGTCTATATGTCAGAGGTTTTAACGTATGGTTCAAAAATGAGAGCAATGAGGCCTTTCAACTGTCGGAGAACGGAAACGAAAAGAGCCCTTACGACAAAAGACACTTGTACATATCGCCAGACAAGCAGCACGCAATCGCATGGCAGTACACCCCCGCGCAAGACCACAAGATCAATTTGGTGGAATCATCTCCAGAAGACCAGATTGAGCCAAAACTCCACACAAAGACATATCTTAAACCAGGCGATCGTGTTAGGGTTGACAGACCTCGGCTCTTTGACCTCAAGGCTCATAGCGAAGTTGCAACTGACGATTCGCTGTTCACAAAGCCCTACCAAGTAAGCAATCTGGAATGGAACCGAAACAGTCAGGAATATCGCTTTTATTTCAACGAGCGTGGCCATCAACATACCAGAGTCATTGGTATCAGAGTTGACGGAAGTGTCAGGACGCTCGTGGAAGAGGAGAGCCGCACATTTGTAGACTACACGAAGGCATACTACAAGCTCCTCAGAGACTCTGACGAGCTTATCTGGGCCAGTGAACGCGACGGATATAACCATCTGTATCTGGTGGACCTCGTTACTGGCTCAGTCAAGAACCAGATCACAAAGGGGTCGTGGATGGTCAACTTTGTAGAGTTTGTGGACAAGGAGCGTCGCCGAATTTGGGTACGTGGCTATGGGCTCAGGGACGATGAAGACCCCTATCACGCACATCTAGCAAGTGTCAACCTCGATGGGTCAGATTTCAAGGTTCTCACAGATGGAGATGGAACTCACTCTTGGTCCTTTTCCCCAGACAAACGTTACTTGATAGACACTTGGTCAAGGGTAGACTGCCCACCTACAACGGTCCTCCGTGACAGCGAGTCCGGACAAGAAATAATGACACTCGAGAAGGTGGATTCAAAAGAGCCGGAAGTCAAAGGGTGGTCTTCTCCTGAGAGGTTCGCTTCCCCTGGTCGGGATGGCAAGACACTTATATACGGAATCATCATTCGGCCCGCCGACTTTGACAACACCAAGAAATATCCCGTGTTTGATGAGATCTATGCCGGGCCTCATAACTTTCGGGTCCCCAAAGCGTTTTCAACTCTCTCAGATCGACGACGATGGGCAGATGAAGGGTACATCGTCGTTATCATTGACGGAATGGGCACAAACTGGCGCAACAAAGATTTCCATGATGTCTGCTATAAGAATCTTCATGATTCAGGACTTCCAGACCATATCACTTGGTTGAAAGCTGCAGCATCTTCACGACCATGGATGGACCTCTCTCGAGTGGGAATCATGGGCGTTTCAGCAGGTGGACAAAACGCCGTAGCGGCCATGCTTCACCACAGTGATTTCTTCAAGGCCGGTATAGCAGATTCGGGCTGTCATGATAACCGAATGGATAAGTTATGGTGGAACGAATTGTGGATGGGACACCCAGTTGATGAGGCGTATGAGAAGGCGTCTAACATAACTCACGCCAAGAAACTCAAGGAGCCCTTGATGTTGATTGTTGGAGATTTGGACGATAACGTCGATCCATCTTCAACGTTTCAGATGGTGAATGCCTTGAATAAGGCGGGTAAGAATTATGAGTTTCTATTCATTCCTGGTGGTGGACATGGCTGTGGGGGAGGAAAGTATGGTCTTGCTCGTCAAAGGGAGTTCTTCAAGCGTCATTTGCAGCAAGAGGCCGAGTATCGAGTCGACATGTATGACACCGGCAGTTGATATTGTGGCTTTGGATAGGGATCGATAGGTAATTGAAAAAAGGCCCATCGTATCCGAAGGGGTAGTAGACATTGGATGCTTGAACCCCTGTTATACAAACCCAAATAGTGCAACATAAAGGGTCTTGTTGCCTCCAAAAGCCACAATCAGAAGGTGGTTACAGCAACAATTGATTTATTTGCAATACGTTATCACGGCCTACTCACCTGTGTTTGGCCAAACTCCTCAATTGAGGCGCTTTCCTTTGCGTTTGTATTGGGTGAGTTTGACCAGTGCAGTCAAGTCCTATGTATAGGACAGCTGGCCTTCTGCAATAGGTTCCCCCCCTCCACTAAAAAAAGTACGGTAGAGGTAGGGATGAAGATCTAAGCTACTCTCTAGCCCAGGAACCGTTACAGCCCCCTGCCCTCTCTCATCTCTTCTCTTCCTCTCTGTCTTCTTTTTTTTTCCCTTCCCTTTTTGCTGTACCGCTTCTTCCTCTCTTCATCATCGCATCGACGGTTGAAGATGAAGATCTCGTACTTGTCTGTTGGGCTTCTCGCCCTCTTCAGCCCCTTGGCAGCCGCCTGGAGCAAAGAAGGTATGTTTTACTGTCTGCTCTGGTTCATGTCTTAACTAATTCCCATCCTCCCAGATCGCGAAATCTTTCGCATTCGAGATGAGATCGCAAAGTATGAGACCGATCCTGCTGCCAACTTCTACGACATCCTCGGCGTCCCTCCCTCTGCTTCGCTCGATGATATTACCAAGGCCTATCGCAAGCAGACCCGAAATCTGCACCCGGACAAGGTCAGACAGGGAATGCGATCCAAGGCTGCAAAGGACAAGAAGGCTGGCGCAAAGACTAAGCCTCCTACCAATGCTGAGATCAAGGCTGCTGTGAAGAAGGCCGGCGAGGCTCAGGCTCGCCTCTCCCTGATCGCCAACATCCTCCGTGGCCCCGAGCGCGACCGCTACGACCATTTCCTCTCCAATGGCTTCCCTCTCTGGAAGGGCACCGATTACTACTACAACCGATACCGCCCCGGCCTGGGCACGGTTATCGTTGGTCTTTTCCTCGTTGTGGGTGGTGGTTTTCACTACCTCACTCTGTACATGAGCTGGAAGCGACAGAAGGAGTTTGTCGAGCGCTACATCAAGTTCGCCCGCGACACCGCCTGGGGTGGTGGTCTTAACATCCCTGGCGTCGACGCAGCTCCTGCTCCAGCCCCTGCTGCATCTCCCGCGCCCGCTAGCGACGAGGAAGAGGCTCCCCCTCTGCCCCAGAACCGACGAGAGCGCCGTATGCAGGAGAAGGCGGCCAAGCGTGATGGTGCTCGTCCTGCTAAGAAGACGCGCCGTGCTCCTCAGGCTGCCTCTGGAACTGCTACTCCTGTCCCTGCTGCTGGACCTACCGGTGCTCGCAAGCGAGTTGTTGCTGAGAATGGAAAGATCCTTGTTGTTGACTCCCTTGGTGATGTTTACCTCGAGGGAGAGGATGAGGATGGTGAGGTTCACGAGTTCCTCCTTGACGTAAGTTATCGCGATATCATCGAAATGACTAAACTAACATGTGACAGCCCAACGAGCTTGCCAAGCCCACCATCAAGGACACCGCAGTCTTCCGTGCACCCATCTTCCTGTTCAACATCACTGCTGGCCGCTTCCTTTCCAAGAAGCCCACCGACCTCGAGATCGAGATCCCTGCTGAGGATGAGGACTCTGATGTTCCCCAGCCCACCCCCAGCACCGACTCCGCCGGCGAGGACTTTGAGCTTCTTGACAAGAGCACTGATTCTCTCGCCAAGGCCAAGGCATCTGGCGCTTCGCAGGGCAAGGCTAACAAGCGCAAGGGCAAGAAGAGGTAAACTTTGGGAATGCTTTCTAATAAAAGTTGACTGGAGCTAGGAGTGGATGGAGTTGGTGTGAAATGGGGAGGATGTATTTTGTCAAAAAGGACGATTAAATCTTAACTGCTTGCCATGTTATAGTAGATGCCATTCATGAAAAGGACTAGATTTGGGATATGCCTTGTATCCAGACTCTGTGCTTTGTGCCTTCATGCGCCGACTATCAGTGATGTTTGGGATGGTCTTAGTCAACTGGAGCAAAGACGACTGAGTTAACTAGTTAGTAAACAAGAAACCTCGTATAATACCAATTCCAGCTCTAGTTTTCTTGGCATCTGGCATTATAGCTGTATTTCAACCTTTAGACTACAACGATCCCCAAACTTCTAATAACCTGGCCATAATATATGACAATAGCTTATATGGCAGCTATAGCTAAACTTGTTCTTCTTCATTCTTCGGCTGAAGTCTATGATGATAAGACCCTTCATCACAACTCATCTGAGCTTAATTAAATCCGGGCTAATTAGTCTTCAATGGCTGCATACGGAACCCGAACTGTATTACACGTCTACTATGTAGGGTTGCAATGAAGTTGCTGACAGTCTTAGAGGCGGATATTACGGACATTTATATCCGGTCAACCTCTCCAAGCAGCAGCACAACATTAGTTGACCCCCATTTCCATGGGCAAAAGGAGGAAAAAGAAGCAGAATGTCGTAACCCCCGTCCATTGTCTTGCGTGCTTTCTGATTAGATAGCTAGCCAACTCCGTGCTTGCGATTCCGCAACTCCATTGGGGATATGTAGTTAGACAATAATCCACTTTGACGACTATTGATCATGCTAATTTTTTGCCATTGTTGATCATTTCTTATATAACTCCCACAAAGCTACACCTTTTTCGAGTTCTTAGCATGTTGACTATTTGTTGATCACCGTTTGTTTCTGTTTAGCTCTCAACAACGTGTCTGTTGAGCAACGATGACGTCCTCGAATCAACAAGAGAGGCCAAATGTCTCTGGTGATAGCATCACGGAGACATTTCCGAGTGAAGATCCAGCCGAGGACCCCAAGGTTCGCAATTTAGTCGAGTCAACTGAAGAAACGGGCTCCAGCAACGTCGTGTTGCAGTCCTCAAAATATGAAACGAGTTTACTTCGCAGGATATTGACACCAAAGAACTGTCGATGGAACGATGAGTCGCCACCAGCTTTGTCTATGAGCCATTGCTGTCTATACGCCTTGGCAAGTAAATTACCTCTACGATTGAAGCTCATGCTAATTGACAGAAATAGGCATCGGGTATCACAGTTGCAAACCTCTACTACAACCAGCCAATTCTCAACAAGATAGCCGCCACTTTCAATGTCTCATACGAAGAATCATCTCAGGTTGCAACGTTGTTGCAGTCAGGCTACGCAGCAGGTCTCATTTTTGTTCTACCGCTCGGGGATATTCTCGAGAGACGCCCGTTCATTATCGCTCTTGTTCTGGCCACTGCAACAATGGTAAGCGCTGTGTAGCATATTACTATATTCAGCAGCTGACATGATGTAGTGGATAGGACTCTGTGTGACAAATGACTTTACCGTCTTCCGTGCCTTATCTTTTGTATGCGGTGCTACCACAGTGACACCACAGCTGATGGTTCCCCTAGTTGGTGACTTTGCGCCAGCGCATCGAAAGGCCTCTCTTCTCGCTATCGTCACATCAGGACTTATGCTGGGTCTGTTGATGGCGAGGTTGCTCTCAGGAGTGGTAGCGAATTTCACAGCTTGGCGCAACATTTACTGGTTGGCATGTGGTCTGCAGTACCTCATGGGTGTTGTGCTCTTCTGCTTCATGCCTGACTATCCATCTACCAATCCGGACGGGCTGAACTATCTCTATGCTCTCTGGTCTATTCCTCGTATGATGGTCACTGAGCCTGTTCTGATACAGGCTTGTCTGATTGCCTTTTCGCTGTCAGCTGTGTTCACGTCGTTTTGGACAACGTTGACATTTCAACTCTCTTCTGCGCCCTTCGACTATACGTCTCTACAGATTGGTCTCTTTTCTCTGACTTCGCTGGCGACTATCTTGTCGATCCCCTTGATTGGGAGGTTGATTGATCATTATATACCTCTACTCCTGACGATAGGCGGTCAGATCCTGGCGTTGACTGGAGTTATCGTCGGAACTTTCACTGGAAACTTTACCGTTGCCGGTCTTGTGATTCAGGCTATCGGTATCGATGTCGGTATGCAGACAGCGGCAGTGTCGAACCGCGCAGCCATCTTCGGCATCAATCCCAAGGCGCGTAATAGAGTTAACACGGCTTACATGGCCCTGGTGTTTGCTGGACAGTTGACTGGCACGGCAGTGGGAAACAGACTGTATGCTAGTGGAGGCTGGAGGAGAAGCGGTGGATGCAGCAGTAAGTCAACTCAAGAGTGTCTTCTTTCGCAAACGAACTGCTAATGTGAACATCAACAGTTGCATTCGTTGGATTGTCCATCTTGATTGCTATCGCAAGAGGGCCTAGGGAAAAGGGATGGATCGGCTGGACAGGAGGATGGCATCCTCGACGAGAAAAGGCCGTGATAACACAAACACAGACAGAAGATGAAGAGCAAGGCGAGGAGCAGAATAGGAAGGAGGAAAAGTAAAAGAAACAGCATGTATCGGATTTAAAATAGAGATGTTTTTTTGATACTCCGTACTCCGTAGGTAAAACGGACAACGGGCCGACAGTTCCACTAGTCACTGCCGCAATATCCTGTCAATCACTTGGAGTCAGCCTCAAAATGCAACATCGCCAAGAGACAATAGGCATAGTTATGAACCTTGACAGGGGATTGCCTTGTCAGTCCAGTTTGACTACTAAATGAGAGTCTCGGAAGCTGAGCCTCCATGAGCCCCTCATTCGGCGTAGCACGGGTACGCGGGTAACTAAACAGGGGTCCTCTGGCTCTAGACATATATCCATCTTCCTTCAGGATTCGTTTCAACATTATGCTTTGAAGCGGTAAGCATTGAAAGATGACGGCTCTTCTCTTTCTTCCTCTTATGTAATCTCGTCTGGTTCCATCAATTTTCTTCTTTCCTTTTCTTGGCATCTTTGTTGATCGAGTAAAGTCGTGTTAGTTACAGGATGGCTATTCCACTTACAATGGCTGGACCACAGTATCATGACGACTTCGACTCTACTCCTAAACAAGCCTCAACACCAACACAAGATCAACCTTTAGATCGCCCTCAAGAACAGTTACAACCGTTGTCAGCACACCATACATCATCCTTTCCCGCCAAAGACCATATATGGAAGGCCAGACTTAACCTTCGTCTCTTCTCCATCTGTGTTGACGCTCTTCTTCTCGTCATTGTCTCTTTGTTGGCCTCTAATTCTAGCGATGAAACAACATCCATCATCGTCTTTGGGATTTTCGTATGTACCTATCTATTCTCATGACTCTGCCACCTACTAACGAAGAAACAACTTAGACTACCCTTGCTCTGATATGGAACTTTGCGGACTCTATCCACCTCTGGACCAGAAGATACCACAGCTTTAGCCCCTCCATACAAATCTGTATCGATCTTCCATTAGCTGTTCTCTTTGCAATCCTATCACTCGTCTGTGGATATTTCGGTCCGTCGGATCACGCAGTTTCCGGCTCGGCCCCAAGCACAGACGAGTCACATCTTGGGAGACGAGCCCTTGGATGTTTTGGCATCACCAAAGCGTAAGTCTAATTCCATTGCATGCCTAGGGGAAGAAAGAAAACTCAGCACTTTAACCCTTAACCCTAAGCGATGAAGATGTTTAGGTAAATCTAGCCTAAGCTTAGGGGACCCTTAGCTAAGTTTATCTGGAGACCCTGTTTTGTAGTCTGATGTTTTCTCCCTGAGGCATGCTCAATTCTTATAATTTAGCCTTTCTGACTTACAATTGTTTCCTTAGTATCGTTCAAATGATTCTAGTTTTCGTGGCTTACTACGAGAGAGCACAAGCAAAGTCGTCCACATCACGAAGCAACTATGCGAGGAATGAGGAGGTTATACCCAGAGATGAGGAAGAAGGATTATTATTTAGCGAAGATACTGTCTTAAACAGATAGTTGTGCTGGTTGACAGCTAACAACTTGCGTTTTGTTTCCCTCGCATTCTACCATTTAGATACCACCTACCAAAAGACACAAGCATAGCAGATACCTTACCACCTCTACATCCATTTTTACCCTGTTCCTAGTTTCCAGTATCAATAGCGTTCAGTGTCCAGTCTCTAACCCATCACTTCTAACTCACGTCTTCCACCCATCTTGGGGGACTCAGGGAGAGCCTGGTTGTCGTTGAGCTTGTTTATTCCATCAGTAATCTTAAGGCACTCATGACATAGCAAATCCCCGGGGCCGACGTTTTCCTGCTGCTCCAAAATGTCGCAGCCCTTTTTCCCTGCAGTGATAACGTTACCGCAAGGGAAGAATCGGCCAAAAGGTTCGAGTGTCGAATTACAGAGCCAGCACGAGGCAACGCGGGTGACTAGACGGCACATGTTGGATAGGGAGGGCCTGGTGGAATGTGATATATGTAGTCACGTAATGTTTATCAAATGCTACTGCGTACCTGAAGGGAAGTAGTGAAGCTTAGGACGAGAATTGGGTTTGGCTGTTGAGATGCGAAGTCTGGTGCTTAGGAAGCTGAGGTGAGTTGTGGACTTGAGGCTACATCGACGAAAGAGTGTGCTATTTTATAGTAGAGATGGCCACTGCAGCAATTCACTGTAATTAGTAAATTCAATGAACGTTGCCTCTTACACGCAATGATTCTATTGAGATTCTTTGTTCGGACTACACTCCTCGTGAACGATGCACCACAGCGTTGGACGGAGAGAACAATGTCATGGACATATTCACCGATACACAACTCCATCAAATACTTGAACACACTATTCTGCCCATCGATCATTGAATCACTTGCGTGCAATGCCCCTAGGAAATTCGAAGTTCGATCGAGCTTTTAGCTTTCGTGAATTAGACCAACATTTGACGGGTCTAATGATGAACATGGATTAAAGGAGAACGAAGGTATCAATCTTACGAAGCAAAACGATGGGCTGTAGACACAGTGACACAAGGTACATAGAAAATCTTCTTTTTAAGTCTCTTAACTTCTTTTGAACTACAAAATGTCGACAAATACACGTCCCTTGCCAAGTCTTCATCCTAAAGACCCAACAGAGACCATTCTCTCGCTGCTTCTTATCATGCCCGCCTCCTCTTCCCAAAGGATATATATACCGCACATCTTGTCACAAAGGAGACGCTGCCCTGCGTAGAATCATGCATGCCAAGTTTCCCAACAAGCTAACAAAAACTCCTTCCCAAGTACTTCCTCGTGTCCGGATTCGCAAACGCTTAGTACACACGCTTGAAGGGTGGCACGGGCTTGCACTCGGCCTCGTCCAGGGTGTTGGCGATGACCTTTCGGTAGGCCAGGTCGACCTTACCATGAGGCTCCTTCTGGAAAGAAAGAGTGTGCTTCATCCAGTTCTCGTCATCTCGCTCGGGAAAATCCTCGCGGGCGTGAGCACCACGAGACTCCTTTCGGTTGGCGGCAGAGGTGGCGGTTTGGATACTGTATACAGTGTCAGTTTTACTTCATAAAGTCACGAAAGAATCAAAACTTACGCGCAGGTGAGCAAGTTGCGGAGCTCAAGAGTCTCAACGAGATCAGAGTTCCAGATCATGCTGCGATCCTTCATGCCAACCTGGCTGTACATGGCATCAATCTCGGTCATCTTGCGAACACCCTCATCCAAACTCTCCTGTGTTCGGAAAACGCTGACATCAGTCTGCATAGCCTTCTGCATGGCAAGTCGGATCTCAGCAGTGCTCTTAGGACCATCAGCAGTTCGGACCTTGTCGAGGACCTCGATGTGGTCGGAAGCAGCATCAGCGGCAATGGGCTTCAGGGCGTCACCGGGGTTGAACTTGTCACGGATGGTGTGCGAAACGGCACGACCGAAGACAACAAGATCGAGAAGAGAGTTGGCACCCAGACGGTTAGCACCGTGGACAGACACACAAGCGGCTTCACCACAAGCGTACAGACCAGGGACAACCTTGTCCTCACCCTTCTCGTCAACGGTAAGAACCTCACCAGTGTATCGTGTAGGAATACCACCCATGTTGTAGTGGACGGTAGGAAGAACGGGAATGGGCTGCTTGCGGACATCAACACCAGCGAAGATACCGGCGGTCTCAGAGATACCGGGCAGGCGCTCAGCAAGGATCTCAGCGGGGAGATGGCTGAGCTGGAGGTAGATGTGATCCTTCTCAGCACCAACACCACGACCCTCACGGATCTCCAGGGTCATGGATCGAGAGACGACATCACGAGAAGCAAGATCCTTGGCGGTAGGAGCATATCGTTCCATGAATCGCTCACCCTCAGAGTTGAGGAGGTAACCACCCTCACCACGAGAACCCTCAGTGATCAGGCAACCAGCTCCGTAGATACCGGTAGGGTGGAACTGGACGAACTCGAGATCCTGGTTGGGGAGACCGGCACGGGCAACCATGGCCATACCGTCACCGGTACAGGTGTGGGCAGATGTGCAAGAGAAGTAGGCTCGTCCGTAACCACCAGTAGCGAGAACGGTGTGGTTGGCAAGGAATCGGTGCAGGGTGCCGTCCTCCTGGTTGTAGGCGAGGACACCGCGGCACTCGCCATCCTGCATAATCAGGTCGAGGGCGAAGTACTCGATGAAGTAGTTGGTCTTGTGTCGGAGGGACTGTCCGTAGAGAGTGTGAAGAAGGGCGTGGCCGGTTCGGTCAGCAGCAGCGCAGCATCGGTAAGCCTGTCCACCCTTTCCGTACTCCTTGGATTGACCACCGAAAGCTCGCTGGTAACTGGTGAAATTGTCAGTAGCCGTTGTGTGGGCGGATTTCAAAGTCCAGACTCACATCTTGCCATCGTCAGTTCGGGAGAAGGGGCAGCCGTAGTTCTCAAGCTCGATAATGGAGGCGGGAGCCTCTCGGGTCATGTAGTGAATAGCATCCTGGTCACCCAGCCAGTCGGAACCCTTGACGGTATCGTACATGTGCCATCGCCAGTCGTCCTCGTGCATGTTACCTAGAGCAGCGTTGATACCGCCCTGGGCGGCGACGGTGTGAGATCGAGTAGGGAAAAGCTTGGAGATACAGGCAGTGTTGAAGCCAGCCTCGGCAAGACCGAAAGCAGCTCGCAGACCGGCACCACCAGCACCAACGACGAGAGCATCATACTCGTGGTCCTGAAAAGTGTCAATTGACGAGATCTGTGATTCGCGGATGATCGGGTAAACGTACGATGACGGCGTATTTGTTGCTCACGAAAGGAGAGGCCTCCTTGGCTCGCAGAGGACCATTGCCTGTGATAACTCGGGCTGTGGACAGCTCGTCAGTATTTTAAAGCTGCGCATGGGATTCGAAGAACAGCGTACCAACAGGGCGAGTGGTGGAGAAAGCTCGAGAAGAAGGGAACCTAGCAGCCCGCGTGAACTATCAAGAGGTTAGCAAAGCGCATTGACGAGCTGGCGAAGCTCCTGCGGCGGACGATATGTTTCATGATGCCATCGCAGAGGCCAGACCGGGGACTACTCACAGCAGGGCCGACGGCCAATCTCCTCATTGCCATAGAAGAAGCCATCATCAACTAAAGTCACTGTGACCAAGACCAAACTGCATCCGCGGGGAGAATCGAAAGGGTGGTATTTGACGATATCTTCGGGTGGCGGAGGAGCAGGACTTTTGTTAGATGTGGTTTTGGAGGAGAGAGAGAATGGATTGAATTGACTGTCCAACCAATCGACAATTCCCCTTGATGTTTTTTTTGGGTCTCTCGTCCTTCGCGAGCCTCGATCGGACGGATTCTCTCGGCTCCTCGGTTGATCCAGCCAATCAGCGTTGGCTTATTAGCAGCGTCGATTATTCGCCGCCCACTGGACTGGACGCTGTAAGCCACTGAAGATATAGGGACTCGGAAGTCAATGACCTGTCCTGGACTCGCTGTGCTGTCAAATAGTAGAGCTCCTTGAGTCCGAGAGTGTGTCGTTGTGAAAGCCAATTGGATTTTTAATTTTCAACTGTTCTTCATGATACTACATCCAATGCTATCCTCCCTCGATCTTCATCCAACATCAAAGCCCAATGGATCGGGAAGATTCGCCTTTGCGAGTCTAACAAATCCATGACGTTCAAGACAATTGGATCTCATCACGTGTCCGCGGATGTACATTTTGCCCTTCGGCTCCCCGTCTCCCCCGCCTATTCCGATACCAACGGCATGTGCTGACGGCTCCACCTCCAGCTGCTGTCAGTCGTAACAACGCGACCCGGCCCGGGACCAATTTTCGGTGCCGGTCATCAAAGTCCGGTTTTCGTACTCCATGACACTCACAGGGTTCAAATAGAACGTGGAAAGAGTCCTCCTTTTCCTGTGATTGACTCAAACAATAAAAGACCACGCTTAACCTAAGCGTCATGATGGGAGCCGTGGAACTTATAATCATATATAGAAGCGTTCCTAATTACAGCTTCTAACGTTATCCTCCTTCTCAGTCTCAGATCCCTCAGACCACCATAAAATATGAGATACATCCCATTTAAACACCAGGACATTCAAAAAGGCAATTAAAGATAGAATTTTGACGTCTACTGGCTCTACCATTCTCCATCATTCCCTGACTTTATAATCATGTCGCTCTGTATCTTTATACTGCCAGAATAAATACAGCCAACTCCTCTTCCTCCTAACCCGTATGCAACCGCAACAAGGATATCTTACTAATTCTAATTCGATAATACTTCACGAAGCATGACCAAGAAATTGTCGGTCAGCTTGTGAACTTCTCCCACAGGTGGCTTAACGGGCTCTCCAGCGCTTCGTCGCAAGCGATCCTGTCGCTTGGCTCTGCGTCGCCTCTCAGCCTCGATGGGATCCAACTCATCTTCTGCTTCCGCCTCTGCCTCATCCTCTGAACCATCGTCATAAGCCATATCCTCGAGATCTTCGCTATCTAATCCAAAGTCTGATGAGTTGAAAGCCATTGCCGTTGGCATCATGTCACTCCCTGCATGGCCCTCAGCTGCCATCTTCTGTCTTGTTTTATCATTGTGCCACTTCTTTCGAGCCTCTTGCCATGCAATAAGAGAGTTGATCTCTGCAATTGCCTTGTCTTTATCCAGAATTCCAGCGCTGACACCGCCCTCGAACAAGGCGTTGACATTAAGGGTTCCGTTCTTGGGGCCCTTTCGCAAGAACTCGAGGATACCCTCGATCCAACCCATGAGCTGTGTGAAGAGGCCGTTATCGTGGGTATGCACTTCATGGACAAACTTGTAGAAGTTGTGCTCATGTCGCTGGCAAAGATCGATAAAAGCCTGGACAGTCTGATTTGGATCAGCTGAAGCATCTTGCTCTCTGCATTTGTCGACGACCTATTCACATGTTAGCATGTAGTTTCGTTTCGGAGATAGCTGCTTCTCTCACCTGGATCATGTCATCAATAAAGACGGCGAAGTCAGTAACACTATTGTACACGTTTGCGGACTTGTAGACTCGTACGAGGGGCTCGTAGAAGATGGTGAAGAGGTCTCGGAATAGCTGGAGGGTTACCGGCTCCTCGATCAACTGAAGCATCATCTCCTTGTCCCTCTGTCTTGTGCACAGCTTCAAGTACTGCTTCATGTACGAAAACAGTTGAGCGCCCTGGCGCAGCTCCTCGTCAATGTTCTCCACCGCATTATTGAAAGCGACATATGCGTTGTAGAGCCTCTGAATTTGCTCTCCTGTAAGCCCTGGTTCAATGAGATCAGATCTCATAATCGCCACAATCAAGTCCACGTCATCTGCCTCAGCCTCTTCACGAATGGCAACCTTGATATGCTCTTCGGCATGTGTGTACTTGTAGAGCTTGCCTGAGAAGACAGGATCGTCAATCTTGCTAGCGAGGATATCGATCGACTTTTGGAAGCTCTTGATACCATCGTTAAGCGTAAGTGAGAAAATCCTCTGCATCAATGACCGTGTACCGAACGGTTGAGCTAGGAAGATGTCCAGGACACCAGACATGACTGCTGCGGGGTTTGCAATTCGGATAACGTTCTTGATAACCGAGTATGGGATGAGAGAGTGAATACGTCTCGCTTGAGCAAAGAGCTCAGGGGAGTTGTCCTCAGCCAGGAAAAGGTGGTAGATGACGGCAGCAATCTCAATACGAAGCCACTCGGCAAACTTTCGATATTGGATACTGAGACCCTGGATCGTCTCCTTTTCCTTGATCTCCTTAAAGAGCATGGTAAGTCCGTTGTGTTCTACTATATCGCGACGGAACCTAGAATATGTCAGCTTAGGCTTTTGACTGGTGTGAGATGACACTCACTGTTCCATGTACTCATCGAGCTCGGCGGCTCGTTTCCTCGCGATTTCATAGAATTGCTTCTGCTCTTCCATGCGCTTCGCATCCACCTCCTTTCTTCGAAGAATATCTTCGACGTCCTCGTCTGTGGGAGTAATGGGCTCGCCACTCAGAAAGTCTTGCATAGCCTTGGTATTAGCAAATTGGGGGTTGTGGAGTACAGATCGCAAGAACGCCCTAAGTGAAATTCTTTGGTTTTCACGCCATAGAACAACAGTCTATTATCTTGTTAGTCGGCTGTGGAAGTCGTGTGCTATGTCACTCATACCTCTGACTTATCTGACTTATCCGAATCCTGGCGGACGGCGGGGCTAAGTCTTCCTCCCTCGGTAGACATGCGAGGAGATGGTATTCTAGGGGAATTGAGCCCCTTGGATCGATTCGATCTGAATGATGCCGCAGACCCAGCCCTACGGTGACCTTCAAAACGTTAGCATAGGTATTTCAACAAAGATGGGGTGGGTCGTACCAGGCGTCAACATAGATGAATAGCCATTAGGTCTTGTGGACACTGAAGAAATAGAAGAAGCATCTGATTCGTTTCCGTTGCTGAACATGGATGTAAAGGCGATCGTTGTAGTAGTATCTGACTTGTTCTTCTTAGGCATTTCTGGTACGACTCGACCAGGAAGCTCTTGTCGCAATCGGCTGTGAAGTTTGGCAAAGTCGCTATATCTTCGGCCAACATAGTGCTCCAATTCTCCCTTCTTCTTGATGCGCAGGATGAATTCGGCGTGTTTGTGCTTTCGGATCGTATGCTTGACTTGAGTGACTCGCACGCCTGCGACATTGACATCCCAGCCATTAATATAGTTGCCCTCAGGCAGAGTATGCATGACACCAGTGTCGATAGCATTGCTGTCAACAATCTCAATCTCTGAAAACCGAATGCGCTCCTCGAATCCTGAAGATGTTCCGATTCCAGAAACCATCATAAGCTCAACTAGTTTCCTGGCCTTGATGGCTAGTTTTCGTCGTTTCGTCTCCTCTAGGCGATCCTCGGACGATGAAATCTGCTTTCCTGCAAATGACTCGAGGAACTATAGTTCGTTAGCGTCAGATCGGCCATGGACAAATCGCATCATCATTACTCACCACTTGAAGCTTGTCCTGCCAGAACTCCTTCTCGCGCGCCTTGTCAAGGAAGGGAAAGTCGCGAACATGGTGGACGAAGATGTATCGCAGAATGGGCAGTTCGGACTCCTCAGGGGGAACTTCACCATGATCGGATCGAAATGGGGCGCCGAAGCGCTGGAGGGCGGTGGTAGAATTGAGTTCGTTTATTTCCCACTTTACCTGCTCCGAAATAAGCTCTCTCTTGAGGTCTAATGTGTAAAAGGATATATCAGCATCTATTAACGCGTTTGCTCGCAAATCAATGCGCATTGCAACACTTACAGTGTTCTTGCTTGCCGGTCAACGTCTGGCCTGGTGGCGGCGTAGCATCTTGCTTTGATCGCACTGGGAGGTCAACGGTAGATTGAGGATTCGCGGGAGCATCCTCAACAACTGCGGGCGTATCTCTGGCCTCAGCAGCCATGTCTCTTGCGCAACAGTCGATTACAGAGAGCTTTCCGTGTATTTCTTGCGAGGGGGAGAGAGGTGTTTCACGGTTCAAAAGGTCGGCCGCTATCAATGTATGTTATAATTCGATATCGATGTATGTAGAAGACTCGGCAAAGTTGGGGTAGGTAGATTTGCGTCAGAAGAACGTCCGGAATATTGTTGGTTTGGTTTAGTCTGGTCTGGACTGCTGCTTTCGTTTGGCGGGGCAAAGCTGCAGTAAGCTTCCATCGTTAGTACGCTAAAAAGTGCCTTATGGGGCGCAGCTACGTAATGTTGTCGGCTGTTGATAGGGACTCACATCGGCGTCTTCTTCAGGGTATCACGAACAGAACGATCAAGGAAACAGAACCTCAAATGATGGAACTTTTCTTCCTTTGGACTATAGACCTCAACCTTTTTAAGGTACTCCTCACGCTGGGCACTTGCGTGTAATAAGCGCCAAAGCGAGGGGCATGACGTGTGTCGCCAAGTACCAAGCCACTCGCCCAGACTCCCACAACCCTGCTTTTTCGGGTCCTTTTTGCCGTGTTATGGATGCCCGGCATGACAGTCAAACTTTTTGGATATCAAACTAATGTAACGGCTATTGAGCTTTTGGTATAGTCAATGGTTCCGGGCGCCTAATGTAAGGCTGAGCAGACATTTCAGTGATAAACTATTATCAATACGAAGGGGGCTTTCCTACGATCTATAGACTGATGCCAAGCAACTCCCAACGGGTCTTTGTTGTAAGGAGTTCTCTAGCTTCATAGACTCACAGTTGTTGGGACTATCCGCTGCCAAAAAATGTCAGCACTACAGTGACGACGACTCATCTCGTTTGCTCAGCCCGTTGTTCGGTATCTAGAACAAGTAGCCGATCCTTTGTTGACCCGAATATCAGTCTCATTTCAACCTTATAAATGGAACAAGCCACGCTACCCACGGGAATATCCTCCATTCCATCTGCGTAGACATTGTGGCTGCTGAGAACTTGGACCAAGCACGGGATTACGCCGTGGAATAATAAGAGATTGGGCATTTCTTACGAGTAAGCCAATCATCGAAATGTGTACCAGAATGGGGAATTAGAGGGAGATTCTTTTGCCCCGCCACGATAAGTTACGCAATGCCGAGTCTGTGCTTTATTGGCCAGCACCTTACATGAGTTGCTAAATGGGAACGTTCTGGGCATTATTTGCAATATGTCACTGCCCTAGAGGCTCTAATGGACGTCGCCTCTTCCACTTAACTTCCAACTGTTTCGTGTAGCCCTTGTCTTTAGTAAATAAAGTCAGAAAGAAGCTCAAAACGCTCTGTCTAGGTTCTGGGCTCAGCACGGTTTCACGGAGAACGTTCGGTCTTGGTCAACCGATTCGAGTCTCTAATCCTTGGCAATTTGGGTCAATGCAGAGCTGTACCAGGTAATTAGGGGACTGACCTTAGGGGGCAAGAAAACATAAGTCCTAAGTTTAGGGTGACAAAATAAACTCTACAAAGGTATCCTAAACTTATCCTAAATTTATACTAAGTTACCTAAATCTTTTTATTAGTTAGGCTTTAGGTCCTGAGTTTTATTTCCTCCCCTAGACTGACTCCGGGTCACGGCTCGGCGGTGGGGAGACGTGACACGGAGGCTCCGAAGTGTGGCGCCGGCAGCGGCTCGGCGCAGGAGTCGTTGGCTTGAACAGGAAAGACGGAAATGTTCCCAATGAAAGAATTAGGTAGGTATCATTAGCATCATAAATTATTATTAATCTGTGGACCAAGAGTAAGTGACATGAACGTCAGACTTGACATGCCTATAGACATTCAGTGAGTTAAGAGTCGTGAGATTTGGAGTTTAAGCGATACAAACATCCCAGGTGCCGCCTATCTATGTATCAATGACCACATGCCATCATTATCTATCATGCTTGCAATAGCCGCCTACAGAACTGGCTTCAGTGTTATTCGGTATGCGTTGAGTCGAAACTACTTGGAAGATTTTCTTGTGACTGTTGTAGGGTAGGTTGGTCGACCCCATATCCGGTTTCATCCATGAACTGAAGGATGTATCAATATTGAGGTAGTGCTGTATGGAAGAACAATCTCGATGTGAATCAATTATCTATTAAAATCCTACCAGTACAAAGGAAATAAATGAGCAATGCGATGTGCGCGCTATGATGGGTATCGAATGAAAGCAATTAAAACGAGAACCAGCAATTTCACAGTTCGTCGAAAACACGAAGCTCCTCCTCTGCATGCGTATGCACCTGCTTCCTCTTCGAATATGGAACACCACTCTTCTCAGGTCTTCGGAGAGACAATGATGGATGTGCTGCTCCCTTATGCGACTGGATGATAGACTCTGCAACACGAGGTGTGCTCGAGTTATCACTACCCAAGAGTGAACTATGCCTTGAGACATACTGAGCACCAAAGAACAGAACCACCACTGCAAGGAACACAACTGTGACGCATATAATGATAGCTCTCAACCTCAACCGTGTCTTGTCCTGAGACTCCTTGTCCAGACGCTCCCAGAGCTCAACTTGCTCTCGGACAATATCGACTCGATCACTAAGAGCGCGGATCCTTGCGCGGCCATCTTGGACACGGGTCGTGAGTGATTCGATGTTCTCCTGGTGCTCCTTGAACTGGCCCATTGCTGCAATCTGTGACGTGATGTCGTTTTCAATTTCACAAGCGTCCTTCTCAAAATTTCGATGGATGTTCTGAGACTCCTCCGCCAACTCCTTCAAGGCGGAAACAGTCGATTGAAGCGTACTCATCTTCTCAAGAACCGCATAGTATGTCTCGTCAAGTCGCCGGGCTGTGGACGTAGAGAATGATCCAAGCTCGACCAGGGATTGCTTCAGGCCTCTATGAATGCGTCAGCTATATAGCACCAGACAAGGATATCTGCAGTATCTTACTCGACCTGAGAGGACGTTTTAGCCTGATCTTCCAATATCCTCTCCTTGGTCTTGGGTTCCGGCGGAGCAGGGACGTTGAGAGTTCTGTTCTCCTCCTCTCGCGAGAGCATCAAGCTTGGCCTCCGACTCTGATCGGGGCTCATGTACGGCGTGACGCCTTCTGAGCGTGTCATGATGTCTACTGAAGCTCTGCCTTGATATTGTGGGTTCGCAGATACGGGATGGGAGATTGAGATGTGGTGTGGATGCACGGCGCGGTCCTCATTATATCGATCGCGTTCTTTTTCTTTCTTCTCTCGACGGCCGAGCTTCACGGGCGACGCGAGCTCGGTGATGGATCGCTTCAGCTGATGTCGGCTGCTCGAACGAACACTGGAGACCGAGTTTGTAGAGTCTCGGGGACTCGTAAAGCCTGCTGAGGCCATGGCGTGAGCGGTATTTCCCCGTTGGTAGTGTGGCTGATCCCGATTCGTCCTGCCTGCAGCTATAGCGACCGTACTGGAGGTGGTGAGAAAAGCTCTATGCCTGGGCCCTGTGACGCATGAATGGGTGGGTTGCCCAAAAGAGGGCTTGGAGCAGTAGAATTCCAGGTTTGTTGCGTGGTTGCATCAGGCGATCGTCGAATGGTCAACTTCGGGTGTGGTTTAGTGGACCCCTGCAAACCGACAGTTTCACATGTCACTTGAACGTAGATGCATACAAGATCGAAACATCTCCAAATCACAAGCTGCAGACAACTAGTATCCGATTACGTTTTCAATAGTATCAGTTGCTGTTAGGCGTATATAGTCTTACTTTCAAAATATGGAAAACAGCTCGAATGTCATGGCATGTGCCATCGGTTGGTCAAGCTCAGAATGGTGTCATATCATAGTCACCACGATATCCACAATGGCGGTCTTTAACTAAGACCAAGATCCCAAAGAAACCAGTGGATGGGTCTACTAGAAGATTCACGTATGTTGCTTTCGTCAAATTGAAAGTTTAGATCGATGGGCCTCATGTCATTGCTGCCCTTTTAAGATATTAGTTGGCTCTCCTACATCCAGCAAAAGGAATATCAGCTATTAAAGCTTGATTCAGTCCCGAACCAGCCGATCTACGAATCAGTGATGAACACCAGATTCAGAATTCTTGATTCAAGAAGACGAAGAACCACTCAATTAGCCGGAGAACCCGGTACTTGATCTGCCAAGATTTGATCGCATATTCTAACGCCCAGGTATATTGTGCTGCTCCCGTATTGTCTAACCTAATCTTTCCGTTTCAAGTTGTAGTCTGAGGTATACCGCATCGTAAATCATAGTGCTGTCGATGTATGTCTGCTCCAATCAAATTTCTACCACCAAAGCCATCCCACGATCATGAGTTGATTAGCTTGTTTCGCTTCTCCTTGCGCTTTAGTCGCTCGACTCGCTTCTTGTGCATCTTCTCGGCCATCTTCTCGTATCGCTCAGCCTCCTCCTTCTTCGCTCGCTTCTCCTTGATGGCTGTAATCTTGCGCTGTTTCTTAATTTAGATCATGTCTCGTCTAATGTGAGGAGAATCTGGGCCTACCTGGCGCTCCTGTTCCTTCTCGTCCTTCATCTCCTTCTCCTTGGCCTTGACTTGCGCCATGAGAGCTCGCTCTTGCGTTCGCTTCTCATATGACTTCAGGCCAGCGGTAGGTCGGAAGGCCTTCTTGGGTGCATGCCATTGCTTGCCTACGGAACAGTTAGCTTGGGGAATCCATATACAACCAATGCTAGGGGTTGATGTTACCATTCTTGCGCATGCCGAGAGTCTTCTCCGCCGCAGGGGCGGGAGTCAGGTTTGTTTTCTCCGTATCAGACATACTGCTGCTGTGTATCTGTCGTTGATACTGAGGCGTGTCGTTTGAGTGATCTTGCGCGCTTCACCAATTTTTCTGCCAGTCAAAAAATGTTATAGCGGGGCACTATCTGGGAGGCGGTGAGAATCATGATAAAGCTGTGGCTGTGCACCTGCATATTTGGTCCAGAACTGTGGCTCAAATCCAGGGTCCAGGTCCCTCCCCACACTTTAATTCAGGGGCAGATAAGGGGCGATCTTGTCA